AGATGTGGCTAAAATTGTTAGTACATGTAACACTTGTCAATTGGCCAAACAGAAGAAGCAGAACACAGGCCTATACACTCCTCTTCCCGTCCCCAATTGTCCTTGGCAAGACGTTAGTATGGATTTTGTGCTAGGACTGCCACGCACCCTAAAGAAGCATGATTCTATTTTCGTGGTTGTCGATCGTTTCTCGAAAATGGCTCACTTTATCCCCTGTAGCAAAACATCCGATGCGTCCAAGGTTGCCATGTTATTCTTTAATGAGATTGTCAAACTGTATGGGCTTCCCAAGACCATCGTGTCCGATAGGGACGTTCGCTTCACTAGCCATTTTTGGAGGACCTTGTGGCATAAGATGGGTACCAAACTAAAATTTTCTACAGCCTACCACCCTCAAACTGACCACCAAATTAAAATTTTCTACAGCCTACCACCCTCAAACTGACGGTCAGACCGAAGTTGTTAATCGGAGTCTTGGTAACTTATTACGTTGTCTGGTCCGGGAGAACCTTCGAAATTGGGATTTAATCCTTCTTGTCGCTCAAATCGCGTATAATAGCTCCGTAAATCGTTCATTGGGTATGAGTCCATTTGAAGCCGTTCACGGATACAAGCCTAGGAAACCATTAGATCTCATCCCTATGTCCCCACAGGCTAGAGTGTCAGTATCAGCCGAAGCATTTGCACAACACCTTCGTGATTTGCACATTGAGATCAATAAACAACTTGAAGCTAGTAATGCAAATTATAAACTACAAGCTGATTTACATAAACGACATATTGAGTTTAATGTTGGGGATTACATTATGGTTCGCATTAGGCCAGAGCGGCGTCTACATGGACCCGCCTCCAAATTGCAGGCTCGTAGTGCTGGTCCTTTTAAAATTTTAAAGCAAGTTGGTCCAAATGCATATATTGTTGACATTCCATCCCACATTGGTTACCACCATACTTTCAATGTTGAAGACCTTGTAGCTTATAAAGGTCATTTCATTCCCTCAGATGATCCCCTGTTACCTTCTTTTGTGGACCTTGATCCTAATTCTTTGGCCCCCTCTAACCCACTACCACCTCTCACAGCACACACAGATAACATTGATGCTATTTTAGATGAAGAAACTGTGTTCACTAATGATGGAGAGGTTCAATGCTTCCTTGTTCGTTGGGTTGGTCGCCCAGATTCTGATTGTGCATGGATCTCCAGGGAGACACTACAGCGTTTGGATCCAGATTTGCTAGAGCTTTATTGAAGTCAGCAGGATCTTCCTTGGCCCAGATCGCCTCCCGTCCACCCGAGGGGAGTTGATGAGGACACCAGGTTCAGACCGCCACTGACACATTTCTACCGAGCCGGAAGAAACTTGCCCAACCACTCAGCTTATGGTTGGGAGATTGACGAGAGTCTACGATGATATATCCACTCGACAGAGTCGAGTTTTCTCCCACCCCGAGAGAGTTGATGAGGACATCCTTATAGTTGGACTTTTATTATTGTTTCAGTATTTTAGTTGGACTTTTATTATTGTTTCAGTATTTTAGTTGGACTTTTATTATTGTTTCAGTATTTTAGTTGGACTTTTATTATTGTTTCAGTTGGACTTTTATTTAAATTTACGTATTTTAATTAGGACTTAAATAATGGACTTGGCCCTATATTTCTAGTTTTTCATTATTTAAACCTGTCATTGGTTTGTAATTTCTCAATTGATGAATTGATTAAGAATTATGAAGTTGGCTTGGCCGTTTTCTCTCCTCCTACCCGCTTCTGCCTTCTTCTCTTCTCCTCCCCCTTCCCTTCTTGTTATTTATTAATCTCCCTACATCACAAGATAGTTCTTAATTACCACCATTTCCAGTTCTTCTCCAGCCCTTCTCATGATGGTTCAAATGAACGCTATATGTCCCTATTGACTCGCACTAACAGACCAAGAAGAAACTAGGAAAAAGCAAAAGAGAGTTGAAATTAATCATCTGCACCAAACGAAAAACAAAGAAAAAAGCATGGAAAACCAAAGCATTTTTCTCATAGCAAGCACTTTAGTTTTGATAGAGTTTCACTAAAACTGTATATGATCAATCTATTGTCTTAAAATGTAAAGAGTTATTTTCATCATCATCCCAATACCCTATGGGACCAATATATCAGGCAGTAAAACGAAATTTTGTTTCCAGAGAAAAACTCAAACAGGCAAACAGCCATATCCTTTATACACTTGTCCATAATCCATCTTCAAGTGCTCAGCAAACTAACGCCTTAAGCTCTCAACAATGTAGCTTGCATACAGGTCCCTACACAAGGAGAAAAAAAAATGAGAAAAACGAGGGAGTAATCAGTTGAGGAATATCGGATGCATGGGGAGTAGAACTAGACAGTACAATGAAAAAAATTATTATTTTTCTTCATTAATAGTGTCGAGCACTGTCTTATTTTCCATTCTAAAAATGTCATTAAGGTCAGGAGCCAAAAGATCAGCTGTTTGCTTTTAGTACGTCACAAATTGTTGCATTGGCAATTATAAAGCGAAAGGAGGACCACATACATGGAACGCTTGATTGCTTCATAGGCTTTTGTGGCCGGCAGAAACTCATCAACTGCAACATCCTTGTTCTCATTTTTCTTGTCTGATTGATTGTTAAGAAATTATAAGAAAACATGATACTACAAACGCATATAGAACAGGAACATTTTGGCAAACCATAAACAAAACCATCTTTAAGATTTATTTCGATCACAAAAGATACAATCTTCAAAGAAGCGACGGATTTCAGCTAGACGATGGGGCGGTAGCTCTTTTATGTCAGTGTAGTGCCGATATTCTGGGTCATCAGCACAGACAGCAATTATTTTGTCATCCTTCTCTCCCTATTACCAAAAAGAAGTTAATATTTTTGGAATGGTAACAATGAATATTATCTACATGGAAGGTCAAGGAATAATAAATGTACCTGATCTATCATGGGCATGAGGCCTATTGCCTTTGCCCTAAGAAAGCACCCTGGAAGAACTGGCTCCTGTTTGAGTTCACAGGCATAGTTGAGTGACAAAAGATACATGTTATCTTGAGAAGTTTAGGACATTTTTATTATCATAGTATCAAAGGGTAAAAATTAGTACATTTTATAAACCACATTCAGTCTGCTAGTTCAGTTAACCACACAGTTCATGCACACAATTTACTACCATGATTGTGAGATAAGAACTGTAGTTACTAACTGACATTTGTATAAAAATTCCAGATGGAAGTGCACACCTGCATGATGACCAAGACATCCATTGGGTCACTGTCCTCACAAAGAGTACGAGGGATGAAGCCATAATTGTGTGGATATACAACTGATGAGTAAAGAACACGATCAACCTGCAGATGCAAACCCATTGAAGTACTTCATAATTAATTGACTTGCAACAGGTCAAAGTTAATAAGCCAGGTACCTTGATTAGACCAGAATTCTTATCAAGTTCATATTTCACCTTACTTCCCTTGCTTATCTCAACCACCTGCATTGATTAACCAAGTTTTCTTGAGAATATGAGATAACAAAGTTTCTCCACAACTTACTCGGGAGAAAAGGCAACTTAATAAGCTATAAAGCACGAAAACAAAGAAAGCATAAGTTAAACTTTCATATACTTCAGTTAAGCAAATTAATTGCACATTAAAAGTGAGACAAAATGGAAAGAAAAGGAATCATCACTATGAAAATATAAGCATAACAAATGTACCCAAATGTCAGCAAGCTTACATGCTTAACAATCACGTTAAGCAAACACGAGTAGCAAGCATTGTAGAACACAATCTACATTCAAAGAATAAAGAATTCATTAATAGAATGACACAATTGACGGTATCTTGATGTAACTGCATTTGACACGTAAAACTCTTAGACACTAAAGCCAGTTCCAGGGGTTTGATAAGATGCTAAAGAAGCATATATGCAATTATGGTTCAGGCACAGATAAGAGAAAGAAGTATAGAGTTCCATTGGCATCTAATATAGTACACTCAGGCAAGGCAGAACCATAGAACAGGTTTGGGAGTGCTAAAGCTCCTAATACATATAACCGTAGTCATGAGATGATGTGCAACATTTACTCAATCTAATAACATAAAATGAAACACAGCATTTTTAACATTCATGATTAATTGTCGAATCATGAAAGTTCCTCCTACTTTAACACTAAATACAAGAAACACGTTCAAAGCTAAATGAACTTCAATATTCTTACACAATTGAAAATTATTGGTGCTCTAGGTCCTGCATCAAACAATAAGAACAAAACATTAAACTCAGGAATGCCAATTTGAGCTTTAACATGAGAGTAGAACACAAAGTTATATACCTATCTCAAGATCATGCCAAGGATGGGCTGCAACTGTATTCCTGGACATGGAAGAGAGGATCCTTTCATTAAGAGGTGGATGTGATGGTTTCTTAGAATCAGATCCATTTGGTGTGTCAATATGTGAAGCCATCACCACAGGCTGCAAACATAGATCAAAGTAAGCTTTCCACATCATTGTTATAACACATACAAATTACTAAGAAAGACGTTCTAACATAGAGTACAAGCCATGTCAAAGAGAAGAAATTATACAAACTAATCGCCCACCATAACAAAGAGTGTGTGTACATAAAACTATAGCTTACAAAATGTACTATCAGATCAATCCATCGCAGTAAGAAACTATCTAAAAAATAAAACATCTCGCGCATGCAAAAGTACGCACATCCAAAATGTGCACTTCTTCATCGTGAACAAAATTTATCAAAAAGAATCAAAACGTCTAAAATCGAGCAAAAAACTACTCAAAACATACACCAAAGACTCCATAACGAAAGATCTATGAACGTAAACAGTAAAAAAAAACAGAGCAAAAATTTCCATATCCTTACGCCTAAACTTAATAAAAATAAAATTAAATCTACACAACGTAATTTAAACGAAGTAGTATATTACAAAAAGATAGTACTAAATATATCTAAAAATACAAAATATATATCATTAAAAAATCTTCAAATCTCAAAGTAAATGAAAATTAAGCGTACACAAACGATCAAAAGCAAGCGTCGGTCGGGTAGAAGAGCAAAGAGGCACAGATCTCAAAGAGAAAAACGGAGCGTGAAACTGAAGCAAGAGAAGATATTTATAGATTCATTTGGCTTTTAGAGAGAGAGAAGAAGAGTGATGGCAAGTTCTTTCTCGGAAAAAGCAGAGCTGGGGTACCGGTGCGTTACGCGTTCCCGCTCTGTCTCGTGATTTGCCATTTGAGCACGATCAAAGGAAAATGGGAAGTAAGGAAAGACAAATTTACACTATTGGTCCGAAATTTACTCTTAGTAACTTTAAAAAAGAGCAAGCTAATGCTCAAACTTTAGCACAATCAATTCCTCAATAATGAGAATAGACTAAGCCCCTGTTTGATCCCCATTAAATTAAATTACATTACATTCTATTTTTCTCTTTCTTATTTTCAACCATACAATCTTTTATAAAATAATATTACACGTAAATTGAAAAATTTTCCTTCTTTTTCAACCACTCATTTTTCTAAAAAAATATTATTCCCTCCATTTTCATTTTCAGCTAATGGATATCAAACAGGGGCTAAGGGTCCATTTAACAAACTTTTGCGAAATCGAAAAAAGTTTTTGTTGGCATGACTTTGGAAGAGCCACAAAATAATAATAATAATAATAATTAAACAAAAAGTTACTTTTGGACCCGTTTAGCTAATTTTATGAAAGTGTTTCCTCTTTATTAGAAGAGCTTTTATAAAAATTGATCGAATGTGGCTTATTTTAAAAGAATTTTAGAAATAGAAATTTATTTTAAAAACTTAGTTTTTAAATAAAAAATAAAGTAACTTCTTCAAAAAGTTCTTCTACTAAGTAAAATTCACACCAAACGGGCCATCAATTTTTTTATAAAAGTACTTCTAATTTGAAGAACCTTTAGAGAAAGCTGATTCAACGTGACTTCTATTAAAAACACTTGCAAAATATTAGCCATTGTTTGAGTATCATTATCTAATTTTTTTTTTCCACATACTTATTTTCAACTACAGTTCCTCCCATAAATAATTCGTAAGTAAAATTAAAATTTTTACTATTTTTTTATCACTATTACAAAATCTTTTTTCTTCTTTAGAAAATAAAACTCAAGCATAGCCTAAAGTTCTCTTAAAAAATAATTTCCCAACACTGATTTTAGTAATTTTTACCATTCTACGCGAAGTGAAAATTCTACCAAACGGACCTTAAGTCTTCACTAAATCATTACTTAATTTCTCATAAAAACTTATCTCGCTACAAATTTCTTGGCATCATTAGAAGTTAAATGTAAAATGTAGTTTCATAAAATCGAACATTTCACGATGATGCAAGGTTTAAAACGAAGTTGGCTGTTTCTCATCAAACTCATTGTGCAAATATAATAGAAAATCAAGGATCAACTTACTTATTTTAAAAGACAAAACCTATTTGGTGCATGGACAATAGATTGGAGATCAATTACGCAATTGTTCCATTAGGAAAATAAATATCTTACGTTTCTCCTTCTGAGCGAATAAACTGCCATTTGGAAAAGGAAGATTCTCTTTGAGGTATGGAATATGACGTGTAGTTCTAGGCTACGTGTCTCGTTTTGATTGGGTAACGCAGCTAGGGTGGGACCGAGATTGACTTTCGGATTAACATATAAAAATAATAAATAATGCTATTTTTACTTAGTCGCTGCATTTGACATCCTCTGTAAATGTAACAGTTTTTTATTTGAAACATTAATTTTTTTTAACTTTATTATCTTAAAAAACAAGTTAATGCATCAACAATAAATTGACAAATGGATCAGTCGCTGGAATTTTTTAATTTGTTATTTGAATCATTAATTTCCTTTAATTTTTAACTTTCCAACAGGCTATTGCCGGTCAGCTCAACTACGGTCTAGTCCTGTTGTGCTGTTCAACAAAAATCTGCCATTGGAATTTTTTTAGTTGTTAATTATACAATAATTTTTGCAAAATTTATTCCCGAAAAATTTATAGAAGTCCATTGACATCCTCCAAGACAATAAAAGTCATGCTCGACTATGACACTAGAAGCGAGATGACCACCACAAAACCAAAGTCATGTTGACCTCCTGTTTGAGCTTTATTCTTTTTCATTATTTTTTCTATAGTGCTCATTTTCAACAATACATTTTTTCATTAAAATAATATTATACGCAAATTAAAAAAAATTTCTTATTTTTTAACCGCACATTCTCTATCAATCGCTATTCTATAATACATTACTTCAAATTAATGGGACTCGAACGAGGCCTAAACTAATATTTGAGCTTCATTTTTTAAAATTATTTTTTCTCAAACTTATTTTTAATCGCACAACATTTAATAAAATAATTTTGCACATACAACCAAAAATTCCCAACTTTTTAACCATGCGTCCTCAAAAAAATACTTTTTACAAAATCTTGAGTCGGTTCGAGCCTCATTTTTATCTAAGAACTCATTTTAAAATAATAGATTGTTAGAGAATGTGTGATTAAAAATAATAAAAAATTTTGAGTTTACGTATAATATTAATTTAGAGGGTGTTTGTTACCCATTTTTCAGAAAAAATGAATTTTAGAATAGTGGATTGATGCAGAATGTGTGGATGAAAATTTTTAGATTTATGTGTAATATTATTTTAGTGAAGAGTGTGGTTGAAAATAAAAGAAAGAAAAATTCATTTTGAAAAAAATGGGAATCAAACGCACTTTTATTAAAGAATGTGTAGTTGAAAAAAAAAAAAGATATTTTGAAAATAATGAAGATTGGACAAAGGCCTATATTCAAAAAAAAGACTAAAACTGGATCCATTTTACACGCGTAATATGTAGTGACTTTGATGCCGAAAACGTGGAAAACAGGAACGAAATGCATACTGGCAAGTTGCAATCCCAGTTTAATTTTCTTTTTCTAAAACTCATAAGAAACGAAAAATACGTGAACGTTGGAAGAATTGGCGTTGAAGCCCCTTCCGGCCTTCCCCACCTTGGTGGTGCATATTTTCCACGGTAGACGCGTGAATAGTATTGGTTTATTACAATGATTTAGACTTGTTTCATTTTTCATACGAATTAAAAAAAATTCTTTAATGGTATTGAAAAATTAATTTTTGACAAAATCTTTCCTAGTTTACCCATATTTAATTTTCAATATGTAGTAGTAAATTATTGTTGGAATTAGTAAAGAAATTGAATGATTTAATTTGAAGAAGAAGAAATGAGAGATGTTCCATGTTTCTAAAAAGTGAGAAATGTGTGTATTTGAATTATTTCAAAAAGTTGGCCTATTAAGCAAGAAAAATTGAATAAGGGCATATCGGTAAAGAAACAAAACAAAATATTTTAAATTAAGAAACATGCCTATATATATTTAGGATAAAATAAAATGGAAACTCAATCTCTAAAATTGGGACGAAGGGAATAACACTTTTTATACATAGTAATTTGGTATAATTAAGGCTAAAATATTATATTATTTTATTGTTCAACACTTATACTTTTGTTCGATATATATATATATATATATATATAAAATTGGGACGAAGGGAATAACACTTTTTATACATAGTAATTTGGTATAATTAAGGATTCTTAATTTGGTATATAATTGGTATAATTTAGATAATAATTTTTTATTATCTAAATTCATTCCTAATTCTTTTGGATAAATTATTCTATCAAATTTTTCATCTATTAATTCTATATTAACTTGATTTTGAAATTGTTCATTTTGTTCTTCTTCAGGATTGCTTTCTTCTTCAAAATCATTCTGTCTTTGTACTTGATTATAATCTAAAAATCTTAGGCTAGTTCTTCCATGAATATAATTATAAGTTAATGCTTCCTGTGGTGCTATGATTGTTTCTTGATTTTCTAAAAATTTATCCATATCCCATTCTAATCCTACCAATTGTTCTGATGAATATTCTTTATGTTTAACCATGTTCATCCCTTTACTACTCATTAAATTTACTACCTTATCTATATAAATTTTGTATTTTGTTTGAGAGTTATTTGAACATCTTCCTAGAAATCCTATACTAATTAATAGATTATTTCCACTTTTTACCTCTTCGTATCCTTTTGTTTGAATTCCTATTTTAATTTTATCTGAAAAATCTTTAATTGTTAATAAAAAATCTAGGTTACAATAAATTATACCATTATTATTATTCATATCAACTTCTGTGCTAGCAATCATACTTTTATCTATATTACTAATTCTTTCATCATATATGGTAACTAAAACTTTACATCCTAAATTTTTTCTCATTAATCATTTTATTCCTATAACTATTAATCCTAAATGTATGAATCTAAAATTTTTCTTTTTTAATTCTCTATTAGAATCTTCTGATATTAAGTTCAATTTTCTTACCTGGTTTCCTATACACTGAACCGATACTTCTCTACTATGTCTGAAGAATTGTGTTCTGGTTTCAAAAATTCCTTTATTATATAATATTTATGGGTTAAGAATTTTATATAATAAAACAGAAGGAAAATATATAGCAAGAGGAAGTGAAAGACCTTTAGAAAAGAAAATAGAATTCCAATCAGATCATAAAGCACAAATTTTAAATATTACAGCACATGATCCACAAACATGGAATAATGTAATAGATGTGTGGAAAAATACTATAATAGGGCATTATATTAGAAATTTCCAAGAAATTGAAGCTTTAGATATGTATAGATATTTAGAAACATTTTTAGGAGAAAGTGTAAAAATTATGTGGGAAGCATTTAAATTAAAAAAGAAAGAAGAATTCGAACAATTAGTTAATATGGGAAGTAATCTTTATCATTTTGTTAATAAAATAAAAATATTAATAACAGGAGCAGACCCAAACTCAGGACATATGAGTATACAAAGAAAAGTTATGAGAGATTTAGAACAACTTAGCCTTTATAAATGGACTAAAGGAAGATATGTTAAGAACTTTTTAAATGAATATCATTATTTAACTTCAATATCAGGAAATACATTTAATCAAGAAATTGGTAATAAATTATTTCATCAATTACCAGGACCATTAGGATTAGAAATCACAGATAAATGGAATAATCTACCATCAGTGAAAGAAGAACCAGAAAAACAATGGAATATAAGACAAAGAATACAACATGTAATAAGATGTTTAGAAGATAAATGTGTAGAACTACAAATTTAAAAACAACTTAAAAAGACAGACTATAAATTCTGTAAAGATATTTTTACTCCACAAACTT